TGTGATGGCTCCCTGTAGGGTTCAGGCTGGAGTGAGCCAGGGTTTGGCCTGTCATCTCCCTGGAGCACAGCAGTGTTTTGTGGATACAGCTCTAGCAAATGGTTTTGAAGTTTAAAAAGTGCTGATTAACCCTATTGCAGCAGTGTCTGTGTGACTCAGAGTGTGATGGGTGCCAGGACACTCTCAGGCCATGCCCATGCCAGCTGCTGGACTTCCTCTGCAACAAATGATGCTGTGCAACAAGCTCTCATCTAACTCTAAACTTGCATATGAAAAAGCCCCAGTGCTATTTAGCTGGTAGCTCCTGGTCATTCCTCTCAATTCCCAGTGGTGTCCCTTTGGGGCAGGTATTAGGGAAATGCTAGCTCTGAGAGCTTTGACAAATAAATCCTCTGGGCCTCACTGTAAGGCTGGAAAGTCTCCCACCTCTCCAGTTTTGGAGGCCAGGAAATGAAGCACAGAAAAATGTTGCTGATCTGGAGGATGGACTCTCTTCCCAAGGCCAGCACTGGATCTTCTGAATGGAGAGGGAACTGCCTCACTTCACTCCTGGTGCAACACCTGGACAAGCTTTTCTGGCTGATTGTAGGACTGGGGCATGAAGCCAACAAGTCTGCAGCCTTTGAATTCTACACCTCCCTCTGCTCCCAAAGTCAACGAGAGCTTTGTTCACCTCTGGACAGATGAATTTCCACTGTATAAATCCAGCCCCCTTCTCACCTGGCATGGGGCACCATCAAAACTGTCATTCCATTAAATCAGAGTAAAATGATTATCTTTTGTTTCCTTTTTCTTGAAACCACAGGTCCACCCTGGCAGCTGTGTGGTTAATCCCAGATCTGATTCTGCAGGTGAGAAATCTGTGAGTTCCCAGAACAAAGTGTTTCCTCCAGTGGCCACAGCACTTCTCACCTTTTCCCTCACACCTTTAGCAGATATTTCTTTGAGGCCATGGATACAACATGTTACCAAGGCAATGGAAAATCCAGGCTCCATATTGCAGATTTCTTCTCCAGCAGGACTGGGAGGGAATGGGGGAGGAGTCAAGAGATTATTATTGAATTTATTATTGAATTGATTATTATGGAATCCATTACCACTGAATTCAGAGGGAGCTCTATGAGACTGGTGAGGGGGGTTGAGCTCCCCACACTGCTGACCCTGGCAAAAATTATCCACCACAAGCGCTGGCACTGCCATTCCATGGGTGACACCAGTGATACACCAGCACAGCACCGTGCCAGGGAGTGAGGGCAGTGTCCAGAGCACAGCATCACGCTGCCTTTGACCTCTGAACCTGTGGAAGCCAGAGTGGGAATGGCAGCTAATCCTTCGTGCTCGCAGCCCTGCCAGGTGCTGGGTTGGGATTTTAGGGGTGCTGTGTGTGGCTTGGGGCTCAGAAGGGGATGAGAATATTCCTGCTGCAGGCAGACACCCCTTCCTGGCCCGGGGATGCAATTCTGACCCCGGAGCCCTCAGGAGCAGCTGGGAACCTTTGTCCCATCGTGCCACACAAGGAGGACTGTCCCTCTGTCTGGAACGTGCTGTCACATCGTCCCCAGAGCGCCAGAGCCCCACTCCTGCGAGCCCGCGGTGCTTTGGTGCCAGCGGAGCCGCCCCGGCGGGCGGCAGATGTTGCACAGCTGGACGGGCTGTGCGGAGCAACACTGACATGCAGCGGCCGGCAGCTGCAACTCTGCCTGCCCCTGCCCACCTCAGCCTCACCAAGGATGGCCCAG